TGGGGGAGTGGGCGGGGCCATCGGGGGTTCGCCCCACAGTCCCTTGTCCCCTCCTCCAGCCCCCCCGACCCCTTACTCACCAGCACCAGAGCCCTGGTGCCGAAACATGCGGCCTGGCCAGCCACACTTCAGCACCAGGGCGAGGGGCAACCATAGAGACGCACTGGCAGCCAGAGTGTCTCTATGGAGGACACAGCCTCCAGTTGCCTCAGGGCACGGTTAGGGACCATACCCTGCCCTGCTTTTTTATATTTTGTTTTTTTCAGACCCCTAGATATTCAGGGGTCTAATTTTCTCCTAGTTTTCTCTAACATTTTTTTTTGTTCCCCCATGTGCCTGTTGCTCCGCCTCAAAGGGGTTTGAGGCGGGGAAAGAGGCACATGCGCACTCATGTGGATGCACCCTGAGAGACCAAAGCAAGCTCCGACACCCTCCCCTGGTGCCAAAAATGCTGATGGGAATTTTTTCTTTTTTAATAATACATTTTGTGTTCCGGGTCAAATTAGTGAAATCAGTTCCAAATCTTACCGACTGAGCAGAACTCAATCATTCCAAAAACCACATTGATTGAGAAGGCAGAACTCAATTGTTCTAAACACCATGTATGGCGCTACAACCAGCGAGCATCCTCCATCCCAGGCTCTCACCCTGGGACTTCAGATACTCCAAAATCTATTGGCAGGTATCTTATGTGCCAGGCCCAAGCCCAGAGATCTTAGGATCCAGATGCCCCCAAATACTACAGGCAACCATCCTCCATCCCAGACTCTTTAGTCTGAGACTTCAGATACTTGCTGCTACACTTGATCTCAGCCTATAAGAGGCCAAGAAGCCCTGGTACCAAAAATGCTGATGGGAATTTACCATAGGGACAAATTAGTGTGACCCATCTGAATAAAATATATGGTAGTGCCCATAGAGTGCAGTCCCCCACTCAATTTCAATTCTTTTTCAAGTCATGGTGAGCCACTACACTGCATACATTTAGACTTTCACTTCACACCCACGGCTGAGCTGCACTTCAGAGGAGGAAGAGGGACATCTAGAGTACACACACAGACATACTGAATAATGCTGGGCTGTAGGTTCATCATGGCTTGAAACACTTGACTCCATTAGGTCCTAGCCTAATGAACTATATGGTAAACCATGAGCCTTTTGGCTTTCAACTAATGTCATAGACAGTTTGCACTATATATGAATAGGTGTAAAAGTGATGCTTAAAAGTCCATTTATGGAGTGGTACCTGTGCTAAAACTTGTACCAGTTTCAAAAGAGGTAAAAGTGCATCAATCAAGTCTATGGGGATCTGTAGTAATCTCTTACTATAGATATGTTTACTTCAACATCAGTGTTTTCAAAATTTGGCCCTCACTTCCATGTGCTCAGGGAGGACAAAGTTCTGACAGTAAAGAAGGGGGGAAAGGGCTGCAGGGGGAAGAAGTTGGTGCAGGCAGAAGGCAAAGGGGCTACCTGACCGCCCCCCCCCCC